ATTTAAATATATACTTGTTCGAATCAAATTGATTCGTTATTATTAATAATGCTTCGTTTTTCTTTAGATCTCTTCTTTTAATCTTTTTTAATAGCGCGATCGTTCGTAAATAATAAAATGCGAGACTTTCTTATAGTTTTTATTATAAGTTAAAGACTTCGGCGATTACGTCTTGCTTTTTTATCAGTTCTTTATTATTAAGAAATTGCGTCTTTAGCTATTCTATTACTTTAGCTTTCTCTTTTTCTATTGCTATAATACGATTAATTATAATGTATTTTATTCTTATATTAAATTTAAACTTTTTGCTAGCTTCTTTTATTAGCAAGATTAAGATTACTTTAAAGTACGTTAAAAAAGAAAAGTTATTAAAGCTATCGACTTCGAAATCGTAATCTAGTCGGTCTAGCTATAGCTTAGCCGGCATTTTTTTATTGTAGTTTTTATAACGGTCGAACCTCGGCATCTTTAAGTTTAATATTTTATCCGTTACTTTAAGTTTAAGTGTAATAGTAATAAAAAGAAGAGTAAGATAATAGTTTTGCAATTGATTAGTTGCTTAAGTATCTTATTGTTGCCCGGTCCTTATAAAGGCATTTATATCGTAAATCTTTATGTCGATCTTAAGCACGAACTTAACATTTAATCGATCTTAAAGATTAGAAAGCGGTGATTAAGTCTTAGTGTTTAATAGTTGTAATAGTAAAGTTATTGATCTTGTTAATTATAAATATATTCGTAAGGGAAGGTTAGTGATCAGCTTATACTATGCTTATTATTCGGAAGTAAAAAGTATTAAGGCTATTAAAAGTAAACTCTTTTCTTTTAATAAAAGTATTAATAATAAGTACTAAAAGTAATAGACTTTCTTTTCGTATTTCCTTTTCGAGTTTATTAAAGAAGGTGAGCCGGAGTAAAGTTCTTTTGTTTTTTCTTTATTTATTTATTTAATTGTAAGTCGTGGTTTCTTTTATAAGTCCGTAGGTTTTAGTTAAAGTGGTTTTGGTTAAAGTGCTAATAAAGCGGTGATTTGTCGATAAACTTTTTAAAAAGAAGGGGTAGAGCTGAAGTTGTTTCTTTAATAGTTGTGTTTTTAATATATTATTTTAAGCTCTTTATTTGCGAATCAAAGGATTGCTAAATCGGTCGCTGCGTAAATCACCACTTTAATAGTAAAGGGAGGACCGTGTTGTATGGAGAGGATGATATTTCCAAGTTCTCTTTGGTAGGAGAAGTCTATGTACCTCCCTTAGCGTGCACGTGCTTCCAACAGGCCTGACAGCCTCAGGCTATCACAGTCTCCAAGCTGCACGCATATGCCCAGACTGCCATCCAGCAAGCAAATCCGGATCACGCACTTCTCAAATGCCGAACCAAGATGGGATATATCGATGTAGGACGAGACCAGCGCCCAGATCTATCATTCCGGGGAACAGCAGACGTATCTCCAACAGACAAACCCAATCGACGCACCCATAAACAAACCCAGCTGATCCAGTCTACCGCGCCGAGATGATCACCAGTCCCATATTCAAGATCACCGCAACGATTGATTCTGATAAGCCCCCCCCCCCACACCCCCGCCTTTACGTTCGCTCTGACCTTGCTTGACCTGAGCTCAGCACGGCAGAAGGGCTCGGATCACCCACCTACCCATCAATACCGTACCGGTACCTACCTCCCCATTCAGATACTCACCGCGCATAAACAAGGTCTCCCTCCCCTCACGATACGCAGCACCGTCAAGCCCAAAACTACGCATGCAAAAACCTCGAGGCTATAAACTCAGCTGAAAAACGACACCGCCGGCACGCAAAAGTCTTTCTTTCCTTTTGAGTCTATACCAGACGCAGCATATATACTTACGAGATATCGCGCCTTCTCTCCTAACGAATTAAAGTGGAGAAGAATAGCCGAAGAAGAGCGAGCGGCTCAACCCTCAAAGAAAAGAAAAAAAAAAAAAAAAGAGTGAAAGAGCGCTAGGGAATGAATGTCACCGCCGTCGCGCCGCAGCTTTTGAAAAAAAAAAAACAAGCACACGCCACGAAAGGAAGGCACGAAAGTCTTGCGCACGTACATACGTACCGGTACGGTACAGTATACAAGTTACGCGCTCCCTACTGGCCCCCGTGCGTGCGACCTTTTATTTCCGTCTTGGAGGCAAGCTTTATATATATACTTTATACACTTTATACACTTTATACACTTTA